AAATAGATGGAGAAATAAGATACTTTCATGACAAAGAACAGCTGAAGAACTTCATGACCACCAAACCAACCCTACAAAAAATACTGAAAGATATTTTAGACAGACAGGAAAAAACCAGTATGCAAGGCAAACAATTAAACTGATGGAAAGTTAAAGAATCAACAGCAGAAAGACAACATGTCAAAAGTAAATTAATATATATCAGTTATAACCATAAATGTAAATGGCCTCAATTCATCAAAAAAAACAGGCAGAATGGATCAAGAAACAATATCCAACCATATGCTATATACAAGAAACACATTTAACCCAAAAGGAAACTCGTAGACTGAAAGTCAAAGAATGGAAAACAGTACTTCATGCAATAGCAACCAAAAAAAATCAGGGGTAGCTATTCTGTTTGCAGACAATATGAATTGCAAACCAAGAATGATCAAAGACATAAACAAGGTCAGTACATACTAGTTATGGGAAAACTCCAAGAGGAAGAGATAACAATCTTAAATAGCTAGGCACCAAATTCGAGAGCACCAAGCTATACAAAAAAATATTAACAGAAATGAAAAATCAAATAAGCAATAACACAATTAAAACAGGAGATCTTAACACACCATTGACACAAAGGGACAGATCAACTAGACAGAAACTCAGCAAAGAAATAACAGAACTGAATCACACTTGTGAGCAAATGGACTTGGTGGACATATACAGCATGTTCCACCCAACATCAGAATATGTATTCTTCTCAGCAGCACATGGAATGATCTCTAAAATAGACCATATACTAGCCCACATAACATGCTTAAGTAAATGCGAAAGAATTGAAATTATACCATGTGTGTTATCAGATCACAGAGTCATGAAACTAGAATTAACAAAAAAAGAAACTGCAAAAACCCCACAAACACATGGAAATTGAATAATACACTCCTGAGCAATCAGTGGGTCACAAAGGAAATTAAAGAAGAAATTAAACAGTACTCACAAGCAAATGAAAATATAAATATAACTTACAGAAATCTGTGGGATGAAATGAAAGCTGTCCTCAAAGGAAAATTAATTGTGGTGAATTCCCACATCAGGAAAACAGAACACACACAAATAAACAACCTGATGTTACACTTCAAATATCTAGAAAAAGAAGAATGAGTCAAGTCCAAAGCCAAAAGAAGAGAGGAAATTATAAAGATTAGAGCAGAAAACAATGCAGTAGAGGCTACAAAGAATCAGTGAATCAGAGTTGGTTCTTTGAAAGGATAAATAAAATTGATAAGCCTCTAGCCAAGCTTATTTTAAAATAGGAATAAAAAACCTCAAATTCATGCAATAAGGAATGAAAAGGGTGAAATTACTACAGACCTGTATTTCCTGTGGAAATACAGAGAATCCCTATACTTATTTCAAAAACCTCTACTCTCATAAGCTTGATAACACAGAAGAAATGCACAGATTCCTAGAAATATATGAATTACCAAAGCTGGATCAAGAAGATGTAAAACTGCTGAATAACCCAATTTCAATTAACAAAATTGAAAATGAAATTAAATCCTTACCAACAAAGAAAAGCCCAGGTCCAGATGGATTCACTACAGAATTCTACAAGAAACTCAAAGAATAATTAATGCTGACTTTTCTCAAACCCTTCTATGAAATTGAGAGGAAAGCAATTCTCCCTAAGTCATTCCTGGAAGCAAATATTACTCTAATACAAAACTTGAGAAAGACCCAACCAAAAAAGAGAACTACAGGCCAATCTCCATAATGAACATATAGATGCAAAAATTCTCAATAAAATATTGGCAAACAGAATGCAGCAAATCATCAAGAAGGTTATATACCATGACCAAGTGGGATTCATCCCAGGAATGAAGGGATGATTCAACATACACAAATCAATAAATCCACTGAATCAACAGAGCCAAAAATAAGAATAACATGATTGTTTCTACAGATGCAGAAAAAGCTTTTGATAAGATCCAACCCTTATTTATGATAAGAACTTTACAGAAAATTTGAATAGATATCTTTACCTCAATATGATACAAGCCATCTCTGACAAACCAACAGCCAGCATCATATTAAATGGCCAAAAACTGAAAGCCTTTACCCTAAAATCATGTACAAAACAAAGATGTCCATTTTTGCCACTCCTATTCAACATAGTGCTGGAAATACTAGCCAGATCATTTAGACAAGAGAGAGAAATAAAATGAGTAACGATAGTAAAAGAAGTTGTTGAACTATCATTTGCAGATGACATGATACTCTACATAGAAGAGCCCCAAAACTCCATTGAAAGACTCCGAGGTATGATGAATACATTCAGTAAGGTAGCTGGATAGAAACTCAACACTCAAAAATCAATAGCATAACGACAAAATCACTGAGAGAGAAATAAGAAAAGCCACACCCTTCACACTAGCATCCAAAAAAAATTAAATACTTAGGAATCAATCTAACAAAAGAAGTAAAAGATCTATTCAGGGGAAATTATAATACCCTGAAAAAAGAAATTGAAGAGGACATTAGAAAATGGAAAGATATCCCTTGTTCATGGATTGGAAGAACAAATAATGTGAAAATGGTCATTCTTCCAAAACTGTTATACAGATTCAATGCAATTCCAATCAAAATACCACTAGCATACCTCACAGATCTAGAGAAATCATTCCTAAAATTCATCTGGAAACAGAACAGACGTAGAATAGCAAAGGCAATTCTAAGCAACAAAGGCAAGGCAGGAGGCATCACAATTCCTGACTTCACGTTATACTACAAAGCTACTGTAATAAAATCAGCATGATACTGGAACAAAAACAGACCTGAAGATCAATGGAATGGATTAGAAGATACAGCTACAACTACAAATTCACTCAGCCACATTATCTTTCATAAAGGACCAAGAACATCCACTGGAAGAAAGATAGTCTCTTTGATAAATGGTGCTGGAAAAATAGGCTCTCCAATGCCAAAATTAAAACTAGACCCATGCTTATCACCATGTACTAAACTAAGTCTAAATGGATCGAAGATCTAAATGTTAAAACAGAAACACTAAATCTGTTGGAAGACAAAGTAGTTAGAAATCTTGAAGACATAGGGGTAGATAGACAATTCATGAACAAAAATCAAACCTCGTGGGAAATACTTCCTGGAATCAGTAACTGGGATCACATCTTACTAAACAGTTTTTGCATGTCGAAAGAAATCTCCAGTGTAGCAAAAAGAAAACGGACAAATTGGGAAAAAATGTTAGTTAACTGTCCCTCAGACAAAAGACTTCTGTCTAGAACATATAAAGAATTTTTAAAAAATCAGACCCTGAAATTCAAAGACTCAATCCAAAAATAGGCATCTGAGATGAATATACAATTCTCAGATAAAAATATATAAAAGGCAAATAAATATATTAAAAAATGTTCAGCATCATTGGTAACTAGAGAAATGCAAATTAAAACTACACTGAGATTCCATCTTACTCCAAAAAGAATGACCAGGATAAAGAAAACTACCAAGAACAAATGCTGGAGAGGCTGTGGAGAAAAAGGAACTCTCCTGCACTGTTGGTGGGAGTGTAGATTGGTGCAACCACTGTGGAGGTCAGTCTGGAGATTTTTCAAAAAGCTGGGATTGGAAGTCTCATTTGACCCAGCTATTCCATTTCTGGGCCTATTCCCCGAAGAACTTAAAACACTACAGTGATATATGTGCACCCATGTTTATAGCAGCACAATTTATAATAGCTAGATGTTGGAAACGACCTAAATGCCCATAAACTAAGGAATGGCTAAAAAAGATGTGGTATTTTTATACAATGGAGTTATACCCAGTTAGAAAGAATGATCACATTAAAATATTTATAAATAAATGGATGCAACTTGAGACCATACTCATAAGTGAAATAAATCAAATGCATATTTGTAAATTCCCTATTGTCTCCCTAGTGTAAGAAATGATAAAAAGTACATAAGATACAAATTCCTCAATAGATACAGTGAAAGGATAAGAATCTTCTCAAAAGGAAAAGAATAATATCTCAGGGAAAAGGAGGAAAAAGAAAAAGGAAGGAAAAAAATATCTAAAATTGTGTAATTGCACTTAGGATATCTAAGACAACTGTGCTACAAATTCAATAGATTCTTGGAACAAAACAGCTAGCATCTATAGGATTGGGACAACTTTGCATATTAGTGTCTGGTGATCTGAGGAACTTTTGAATAACATTATGTAAAATAACAACCCTAGTTATGCTCCTACCACCTTGTTTTGAAGGCTTCTATCGTCATTGTTTTGGGCTCTTTGCTATTGTTGTGTGTCTTTTTTGTTTCATGTTTTTCTAGTAATTTGTTTTGTTTTGGTTTGTTTTTCCCTCTAATACAGAAAAGATAGGTATTCACATAGAGGCTTATACATGCATAGAACTTCCACTAAATAGTATATGAGAATCAATTATATTATGCATGATGAAATGAACAGCTACTCTGAAGAAAAAGAGACATTATGGTCCATTGCAGATACCATATGATCATGCTGTGAAATCCAGTAATGCTATTATTCTTGTTCAAAGTGGTTTTAGCCTGTTTTGTATATTTTAATTTCAACATACAATGAAGGTATGAACAACTAATTTGAACGAGAATAAGAGACATTACGGCAGACATTACAATAGGAAAATTGTTGATTTTCCTATTGTCTGGTTTTCAAGACCTATAATGCCTTCATCATTCTGTTCTGATCAGTTTAATACTATTTTGTTTTGTATGAATTCATTGTATGTAAAGATATGGACAACTATGTGGAAGAAAACAAAAGACACTACGGTAGCCATGGTAGATATCTTATTATCTTGCTTTGAAATCTGTGTCACTTACATTGTTTTCTTCTGACCTACTTTGCTCTGCTTTATTATGTTTAGTTTTACCCCCTTTAAAATAAAAAAAATAAATAAAAATTTAAAAAAAGAATTCAGAACCCACTAATAACATGGCTTCTAGACTAAGTAACGCTGAGAAAAACTGTAACTTTACTTTGTATTTTCCTGTTAATCATATAATTTATCACAAAGATACATACTATATTTTCCATGGCCTGTGAAGATATTTACTCTTTTAATGTGTCTTAAAAGAGATTAAATTTAGTGGTTTACCTTACAAGGTACAGAGGAAAAAGTATTGGTGTTATTATACATCACATTCTTATAAATCAGATTTCTCTATTAGCCATAGATCTGATTCTGGTTGTTTCCATTCTTCTCCAAGCAACATCTGAAAGCTGAAAGGCTTGAAATATTCTAGACGATGGCTAAAAGAAAAAAAAAAAGGCAGGAATTGAAATGAATTATACATAATTGAAATAATCATTCTGAAGGACTAATCATTTTGTCACGTCAGGGATAAGACAACAGTCTAAGAAATCCCAAAGGTTATGTATTCTATATGCACAATTTTCTCACTGTAGCTATCACACTTAAGTCTGAAAATATTTACCCACATTTCTAAGTCTTTTCCTTTTAATTCTCCAAATACCTTCCTACAGCTAGAGAAGAAATAAAAACCCTCATTCCATCTAGCTTTAAAGAAATCATGTAAGACTGTATTTTTGCATATTTTTATATTCAAATGTTTACGTAATATATATCAGTCATATAAGAAATTGCTTTTTAAAAAGTTTTAGGTCCATATTAAAAAACAGACCCATCCCTCTTTTTAATTAAAGCAAGGGAGTAATCCACTGGTCATACTGGTGCATGATTATAATTCCAGCTACCTGAGAAGCTGAAGCAGGAGGTTCACAAGTGTGAGGTCAACTTAATGAGACCTAGACTCAAAATTAAAAAAGAAAAAAAAAACCAGAAGCCTGGGCAATTTAGCAATTTAGTGATATCCTGCCCTAAAATAAAAGACAAAAAAGGCTGAGAAAGCAGCCACTGTGAGAAGTAGCCTGGGTTTAATAACCAGTACCAAAAATTAAATTAAATTATTTAAGAAAAGAATTGGGAGGTTAGACTGGAAAGGTGTTTCATTGTGAGGTCCTGGGTTCAATTCTGATATCTCAAGAAAGAAATATCAATTTTAGTTCTTTTCAGAAAAACTAGTTAACTGTTAACAAAGCTTTCTCTTGTAGTATAATGAAGAGAGAAAGCCTAGCTAACATGCTGCAATGAAACCTTGCTTCGGAGGAAATCACTCTGCCCTACCTGTGCCTTGACCAATGTATATTTACACTTCTATGTGGAATAAGCCTCTGACAATGCACAAACCGTGAACATGACTATAACAAAGCATTAGCTGGTGAAAAGCCAGAGAGATGTAACAATTTGGTGTAAAGCCTGAGTCAGTTGCAAGTAGATTACCATCTCTTAGTGCCCAAGATGAACTAGTTTTAGAATTTCAACTATGGATCCCAAAGTAAGAGTTAAGGAACTAGCAGAAAAGTATAAGAGAGAGAAAAGAGATTAGGTAGAGAGGGTCAGACTGGGAAGAAGGACAGGTCAGAAGTAAAAGTGTGTCAGGCAGAATGAAGAAATGAGAGACAAGCCACACGTTCCTGTGAGCCAGGCTCCACCCTGGGGATTGGGAAGAAAATCAGCAAGGAGACAAACCACGCCCTCCTGTGAGCCAGCCAGAGTCTGTGCTAGGAAGTCAGAAGAGCATAATCACTCCCACCTCTTGCCCTGGTAGGCAACTGGCTGATTCAGAGGACTCAGGGTGAGATGATAGCAACTGAGGTGAAAGGAACAGCTTGATGTCTGTATAGTTTGATTGACTTTGCGGGCCTGGGGCTGGTGGCCTGGGCATCTATTTGGAGGATGGCATTGTGCATTTTGGCAGCTGTGGGGGATTTCCTCCAACTTATTTTTGAAATCCAATGTTTTATTCTATTTTACTGTTTTGTGTTATTTCTGTATCTGGTAACCTGAGCAACTATTTTCAAGACAAAAATATGCAATATAACAAGCATCATTAAATTCCTATCATCTTGTTTTGAAAACCTACATAGTTATTGTTATTTTTGTTGTTATGATTTTACTTTTGTTGTTTTATTTTAGGTTTGTTTGCTTCTTGATTTTTCTATTTTTTTCTTTTTCTCTTCAAAATAAAAAAATAATGAAAAATAAGTTAGAAGAGATGAAGACAAGCTAAAGAGCATGACAGGAACAAGGCAAATGGCGAGGAAGGACAGTGTGGCGTATCCTTATGTTAAAAAGCTGACGGCCAGTATATAGTGTGAGGCCCACGAGGATGTCTCTGTTAGGCTGCTCTCAGATTCAGACTCACCAGACTGCCGTGGCCAGACTGAGTACACTCAGAGAGTTAAAGCAGGAATTACAGATGCCCAGGCTAGTATATGGCTTTCCTCCTGGAGGGACTAGTCTTTGCAGCAGCCCATGAACACTCATAAAGCTAACCAGGTACTATATTCCCACTAGATGACACCTTTAGGAGCAAGAAGATAAGATTCAAAGTGGAAAAGTATTGACAATGCTTTGGTTTAAATGCCTGCTGTGTCCCAGGAGCCTTGATCTCTTAACTCTAGGGTCCCCACAGGGAACAGTGATTGTCAAAAGAGAACTCTGAAGCCACCTGTCTCTATCATATATTTATAGTCACTCAAAATTACCCTCATCCCAATGTAATTTACCAATTTGGGGCTATTTTTATCTAAGCAATGTTACCTAGTAATATGGTTGACATTCTTATGTTTATAAGGTTATCAAGAGAAGTAGAGAGAACTGATATATAGATTTTTTTTTTTTTTTTTTTTTTTTTTGCAGAAAAGGAAAGCATTAACCCTTTTATCACACCAGGAAACACTGACTCCTCAAGGCATTTATCTCTGAAAGGGATCATAAATGAATTTGAAGCCACGTTTTGCATTAGCTGAAACAACACTCACTTAGCAAGATTTTTCTCAAGCTACTACTATAGAAAACTATTACTGACAGTAATGAGAAAGACTATGTTAGCCCAAAATTAATCTATATTTACTGAGGGAACATAGTTTAAGGGAAGAGGTCTGTATGCAGGGAAAAAATAGAATAAAGGGCTCATTAGGCATTCTGGCTAATCCTGACTAGAAGGAATTAAAATTCTATTAGAAAAATTCCCTTGGAAACAGTCTCAAGGACCAAGGGTGGGAACAGAAAGAAAAGCAGAAGATAGCACAGGTGACACTGAGAGTTAATGGGAAAAAGCTATCAGGCAGAGCACAGAGAGAGCCAAATGCATAAAGCCAAGAAGCCAAAACAGCCTTCCCTCCCCACCTTCAACAGAATTCAGGGGGATGGAGTAGGGAAGGGATACCTATGGAGAAGGCTCTTGTTCAATGCATAGAAATATATATGCTATGTACTTATATACTAATACCTTGGTTCCCAAATGTTTCTGTTTGCAAACAATTTGGTTCTCCAACAAAAGCATTCAGCAAATTTTTGCTTTTGTTCACAAACTTTGTATCAGGTGACAAACATGACTATGCCTATCTTTCCTACACAAACACATTTTCCCCAAAATCATAAAACTTTAAATTCATACACCAAGGTACTACTGTACAAAGATTTGCTCTACAATCACTGTATTAGTATAATAGATGCACATACATCCTCTTACTAACTCAAAGAGAACCATGAATAAGACTCCTCCTAACCAACCAGCTGCTCCTGCTGGAGATAAGGCCCTGCCAAGGACAAACAAACAAAAGGGCAGAAGTTATACAAAGCCCATGAAAAGAAATGCACAGAGAGGCAAGGGGACCTAGATGAATCCAAGGAAAGGACCCGAGTCAACCAGGTTATGGCAAATTCCAGCGCAGAGGGAAGGGCCCCGGAAACTGATAAAAGAAATCAGGCCAAAGGCCCACGTGTCTTTCATCTTTCTGGAAGCCCTGCTTCCTCTTCATGTTAGCTTTTTATTTTTCAGTTTTTCCTTCTAACAAACACAGTGTCTTCCTTTTTTTAAACTCTGTCCCTGTAACTAGTGATTGGTGCTGAGTTCGCAATCCTGGCTGGCTGTTCATCTCGGGGGAGCAGCAGTGCTCATCCTGGAGGTGATGATAGGATTCTACCAGGTGCCTGTACACATACATTGCCTTCTTTGACCAAAAAAATGTTACTACTCTTCTACCGTGAATTAATTCCCCCCCAAAAAACTATGGACAAGACATATGTTTATTTATCTTCTACTTACAAATCAGGGTTTTGTCCTTCTTGCAATTCGTGCAGTGGTACAGGGTAGAGGGCTTCATAACTTCTTTTACCTTTTGATCCATGAATTGCAAATGAATTGAATTTTGTCACATTTGGTGGAAAATAATTCCATGGAAGAAGAGCTTGGCCTTCCCATTTTGTCTCTTCTCTGGACACTTTGAATGACAAATCAAGTTCTTGCTACAGAAACAACACATGAAACACAAAAGGTAAATTCAGGCTCACATTTTAAACACAAACATATTACTTATGAATTTAAGTAACTTTAATTTACTTACTTTCCACACATTTCTTCTTCCAGAAAGTAAAAGAACTAAATGCTGTCCATGGCTGTCAAAATAAAGATTCCTCATTAGTGTGTGGAAGAAACAAATGTTATTTCCTTCACTATCTTTCATATCAGGTATGTACATGTCCATAAATAAATTCCAAATAATTAAAAGATGCAATAAAATACTGGATAATTATAGGCAGAAAGAGTACATTTAGTTATGCAAAAATGGTATCTTTGGGTTTACCATTTTTGAGACAATTCTTGTCAAATGTATAAAGATTCACACAGTAAGATTGCTTTTTATACTTTTTTTTAAATCATATAAAATAATTAGGCTAGCTGACACAAAACAGGAAAATGAATAGAGAACTATCATGGTGTTTGGAGTTTATAATAAAACCAGTTTCAAAAAATAAAGCATCTTGTAAAGGAACTGGGACCAATTTCAAAGTCTGAATCAAATAAAGATTATTTCTATAGGAAAGCTGTCTTGAGGCTCATTAAAAAGACAGAAAAGATAAAACACAAAATAGATTGTCTGAAACTAGTCAACAGCCAAAGATTTTAATGTGCATCTATTTTCTCACACAATTACCCTTGACCTGTCTGCCTCTTTTTGTTTTCCTGTTTTCTACCATTAATGCAGGCACCAATATAATAGTGCAAAAAACAAACACAATGTACTCTCAAAAGAAAATTCTAACACAAGTGCAAAACTGAGATTAGAATAAAAGGATTTCATATATTTACATTAAATATATTTACTGTCTCTGGAAAAGAATGTATCAAACATTTCTATACAGATAATCTTTTGTGAGATTTTCAGGGAGGATTTTCTTCAGTGAAGTATTCTGACAAAAGACAAGTGGCTTTTTGTTTTGTTTTGTATTGTTTTTCCATTTAAAAGCCCTCTGAGTATTTTTACAAGCTTAGGAATATCTTAGGAGGAATAAAACTTCTCACACATTAAAACAATATTATTTCCTAGAAGTTAATTAACTGTTACAGGAGTTGATTGCCTGAGGCATACTCATGATTCTTAATTATTAACTATCTTGAGGTATATAAAGCCAAACTACTTAGAGGATTTTTTTGTTTTAGACAAGATTTTGCTATGTAGCCCAGGGTGACCTTGAACTCAAGGTAATTCTGCCTCAGCCTCCTAAATGCTGAGATTACAGGTGTGTCACTATGCCTGCCAATTTTAATATTTAAAACCATTAATTTTATACCCACTGGCTAATGTATAGTTCCTTAAAATGTAAGCTAATTATTCTATTCATCCACTGTCAGTTCATCACTTTATGAACATAAACTGATGCTACCTAACAAAATTAAAACTAGGGGTCATACTTGCAAGTTTTGACAGATCCATGTTCTTTCCTGTCTTCAAGACAAATTACAAATATTCTCACATGTATGGTGAAAGTGATTGCATACTAGTTGAAAGGTTTGTCTTTTATGACAATTTATGATGATTAATCATATTTTTCAATGAGCTATTTTAGCATGTTAATGTTAGTTTTTTTCAGTAAAGTTGAGAGATAAAAGGGAGAGAAAGAGATAAAAAGGCTTTTATTGCATGTACGGGAGGGCTGTAGAAAGAGGGCAAGATCCCCCTGCTGACAGCAAAGCGTGGAAGAACTTTTATCAGGTCTGGCTGGAGGAGGAGACAAGGAGGTGGGCAAAATGACATATCTACAGCTGAGTTGAAGGAGCATGTGTGCACAAAACAGGATATAGAAAGATTTACTGAGGGCTGGGGGAAGAAGAAAAAGGTAATAAGGTGAACCATCACCATGATGATTTGGTGAACTGTATTGGGCAGAAACACTTTATTAATTAACACAAGTTACATTCAGAGAGATAAGTTACTTCTCGGGGCCTGGTGCCAAGTTGGATGGCTGTAATAGTAGAGACACCTAAGCCCCAGGCCAGCAGAATCTATCAATTAATTGAAAGTTGACATGCCAAGATATATAATTCATATTTTCACAAGCTAATTATATTTATTACACCTACATGCTTCCTTCTGCTTTTGAACAGTTGATACACAGTAATATAAATTTAGAGAATAAACAATGAAAGAAATTGTGATTCTTTATTTTGAAAAATATTATCTTCAAATTAATTTTTTTTTTTTTTTGTCTTTTTCGTTTTTATCGGTACCAGGGATCGAACTCACGACTGCCTGCTTGCAAGGCAGGCGCTTATGCCGCTGAGCTAAATCCCCAGCCCCCTTCAAATTAATTTTTAAAAGCTCCAATATTTGTAAATTAAAAATAACATTGATATAATCAAACATTTGGAATATATATGCTAAACATATAGTCTACAGGTATGTATTGTGCATCTTAAGAGTATTTTCCTCAGTTAAAATATATTCAAAAGGAAAAATAAATTGGGATGGGGAAGGGAGAAAAGAAGAATATACATATATATAAACACACACAAAATTGTAAAGGTAGTTATACTACTAATTTCTCTTAGTTCATTAGAAAGAAAGGTTTCTACTAACATTGTTTAGACAATTAAATGCCTATATCTTATGCTGAGTAACTAATCTGATGGTACAATGCACAATGTATTAAGCATTGTTACTCTACTATCTTGTTTTGAATTTTTTTCTCTTTAAATTTTTTTTAAAAAGGCAAACAAACAATAACAACAAAAATATAAAAGTATACACAGCCAAGCATGGTGGCTCACAACTGTAATTTTAGAAGGCTGAAACAAAAGAGGATCGTTACAAGTTTGAGGCTGACCTTGCCTACCTAGTGAGTTTTAAGGCCAGCCTGAACTTCATAGCAAGACCCGATCAAAAAACAAACAAACAAAAACTATATATATATATATATAATTAACTATGCTATACTTTGAATAAAATAACTATTAAAATGAGAAAATAAGTTAATATAAATGGGATTAATGCTTACAAACATTTACAACAACATCTGCATCATTAGTTGCTAAATATAAATTTAAGTATGCATGGCTTATTATGGGTTCCTGTTGCATGAAGTATTGTTTTCTATCCTTTAATTTTCACTCTATGAATTTCCTTTTGGGTTAGATGGGTTTCTTATATACAGCATATAGTTGGGTATTGTTTCTTAATCCATTCTGCTTCTTTTAATTGGTGAACTGAAGCCATTTACATTAGTAGTCATAACTGATATATACATATTGGCTCATTTCTGTCATGTTATCTTTCTGCTGTTGGTTCTTACCTTTCTCCTCTCTTTAACTATCTGCTCCACTTACTGGATTTCTTCTGTTGATGTTCTTGGTGTCATAGTTATTTTTAAGTCTATCTAGTTATTTTTAAGTCTTTCAGTTTCTTTGCAGGGTTAGTCAGGTGGTCATGAAGTTCTTCAGCTGTTCTATATTGGAAAAGTATCTTTTTCTCCATCCATTTTGAAGGACAGTTTTTCAGAGTACATCAATCTGGATTAGAAATCGTTTTCCTTTAGGATTCTGAAATACTTCACTCCGCGCTCTTTTGACTTCATTGTGTTGAGAAGTCTGCTGTGATTCTGATGGGCTTTCCTTTCTAGGAAATCTGTCTCTTTTCTCTAACAGCTTTTAATATTCTGTTCTTATGTTGATTTCTGGAATGTTGATTATTATATATCTCAGTGTAGATTTATTTTGGTTATGGCTAATTGGAGTTCGATAGGCTTCACTTATTTCCTTTCCCATGCTTGGGAAATTTTCTGCTATTACTTCTGTAAATAGTCTTTTGATATCATTTGTGTTGTTACCTTCTTTTTCATTTATACCTATCAATCTTGTATTATTTTTCTTTGCATCACCATATAGCTGTTGAATTGTTATTTTCTGATTCTTTGTTATTTTAAAAAGGCCTTTCCTTTCTTGCTCACTAGCCACAATCTTGTCTTCTAGATCTGAAAATCTATCCTCACATTCATTCAGGCAGTTTTGCCAGCTTTCAATGGAATTTTTGATTTCTTGGATACCTCCTTGAATCTGTTTCATGCAATTCTATTGTTTTCTTGTATTGTTTATATAAGATTTCCATCTTTTTGCAATGCTCAATTTTTTAAAACTATGTCTTCTTTACATATGTAAAGCATTTCTTTTATCATGTTTATCATTTCTTCTTTTACCTGGAAGGTTATTTCTGATCTGAGTTCCTTTATAGCTTTATGGAGCTGCTTCTGTACTTCAGTTGCTATCACTTCAGAAGTTTCAGGTATATGGCCTACACCTTCTTCTATGTCTATGTCTCCTAAGTTTGTTGGTCATGGCCTGTAGGTTTGAGATTACATTTTGCTCTTTTGTTTTGTCATTTTCCTGTATTATCCAGGTCCCTAGTGGCACTCAAAGACTCTCCAGATGGATGTGTGTGTGTGTGCACACTGGGTGGACCTTCAGCACATCTCACATGGCTCACCAAAGATCCCAGGCTGCTTGCGGTCACTGGGCAGGGCCCTACCGGGTTCTGAGTGATGTAGTAAGGCTGAATGGTATGTGGAATACACTGAGAAGTCCTTCAGCTCATACCACATGGCATATCAAAGTTCCGTGGCTTCTTGGGGTCTCTGGGTGGGGCCCTACCAATTCCAAGCAAAGACTCATGGCTGCACAGCTAGGTAGGTTTCTCCATGGCAGGCTTCAGCTCATACACGGTGGCTCCTGGCTACCTAATGTTGCTGGGCAGGGCCCTGCTAGGACCCAGTTGATGACCCAAAGGTCCTGGACTGTTTGGGGATGCTGGGTGGGGCCCTACCAGGTTTCAAGCAAAGTCCCACAGCTACACAGCTAGGTAGGGATCACTGTGGCAGGCTTCATCTCACATGTGGCAACTCCCAGGTATCTTGCATGGCTTTTTAAAGTTTATGAAAATATAATATATTTTTTACTATTATATGTGTTTTCATAAATTACTTATATAAAAATTTTTAGGTTTTCTTAAATTTAGTAACAGTTAAAATTCTAATATACAACTCTATATCAAAATAATATTTTAAAATGTTATGAAGTGGAATGCCCTTGACCCTGAGAACTACAGAAAACAACTCCCCTCTGTGGCTGAAAAAAAAGCTCCCTGAATCAGTTTGCTTCAATTTTCTCCACTGATGGGTGTCTCCTCTGTTTTTCTTCAGTCTTATTGTACCCCAATCCAACAGATGTTATTGGAGAAGTGTTGTTGTTTATAACTAAATTTACTAAAATTAAGAAGTTAAATGGTTTTATATGTCTAAAGAAATGTTAAAATGCTATAGGTTAAACTCACAAAAAAGTAGACTAGAAAACAACTGTTTGTGTTTCATTAAGATAATTTCTTATATTTGCTTAGATTTTTCTGCTTTGATTTCTTAATAAACTAAGTTTTAAGACTGAAGGTTGTAAATTTTTTCAATAATCAAATTATTATTGGGTTATAGTACACGTTATACATATTTAGGACTAAAGATGTGTGGTCTGTGCTTTGTCTAATGTTAAGAAATTTATAATTAGGATTATGTAAGTTTAATGTATGCAAAGTAAACAATAGGTCTTCTCTTTTACACAATATACAAAGTATCTAGATCTTAAATATATATAATAATCAAATTTTTGATATCTTTACTCTTGGTACTGGAACAATTAAGTCCTGCTATCTAAACTTTGATTATTGATTACTGGTTTTGACTATACAGGTATTTTCTTACTGCATAAATAAGATACACTCATATAATGGGTAATAAGTACTTTTGTAGGTCTAAAGATATTTTTTGACTTTTGTAAGTATTATTAAACTATATAAACCTGTTACAGAACTCTGAGTTTCACCTTAAGAGTAAAAACTAAGTTAATATGTAAGGACTTCTATCTAGCCCTCATGCTAATTATCATTGACTTCTTTGTGTGGTAAATACATTTTTGTTCACCAAGTGTATAAGCCATTTAAAATGCAAAACTTAGAAGAATACCTTACCACACTGGCGTCCTCAAGAAAATTGATTGTTTTTAATGGCAGACTTTTTCAGCCTTAAGTTTATGTATTAAGTGCATTATGATAGATGTGGCTAAAAACTATGTAGTCCAGGCAGTGTCACTCTAATGGTTAAAGACTGGGCATGATTCACCTATAGAATATATATACAAACAAGTACATTCTACTTAGGTACTTTATTTCATTTTTTTAATGGTACCTAGGATTGGACCCAGGGTCTTTACACTGAACTATATCTCTAGCCCTTTATTTTTTAATTTGAGACAGGGACTCACCGAGGTGCTAAGTTGCCCGGGCTGAGCTTGAATTTGGGATCCTTCTACCTCAGGCTCTCAGAGTGATAGAGATTACACATGTGCACTACCACACCTGGCTAGACATTTTATTTTAAAATCTAGCAAATATAGATGAGAATTTACTTATGTATTGATATTTTATAATGGATAAAAGTAACCTAGCAAGGTATTTTCTCCTGAAATGAGAATCTCAATGTACGTTTAGAGACACAATAGAAAGAACTTAATGGTTCCAGTACTATAATGTCATCACAATTTTTATCCTAAAATGCTATGTTTGCTTGTGATTTTTTTTTCAATTTTGCTTGTAAAACTTTGTAACTGTTGTCCGTTAACATTCTGCAGGAATATGAGTTCTAAATACAGCCTAGACAGTATGTTAAGATGATAGGTCATTTGCTACAGGACAGATTTATGATGACTCCTAATACTATTGTTGACCATGGTTAATGAAAAAGATTTACTGCTCTCTGGTTATACTTTATATTTTAAAGTGCCTTGATATCCAAAAGGATTAATAGAATCAGTATTAAGACCTACCGGTGTAACTGACCTGAGTGTTTAATAACTGAAGCTGGGAGACGAAAGATGAGGGAGATAAAAGGGCTAAAAGGACAGCCAGTATTTTGACCTCTGCCCTTCAAGGTCAGCCGGGACCCAGGGAACAATGGCACCCCTCCAGAAAAACCCTGCAACTCTGGTTAGTCACACAATGTCATAGCAGTGAGATTGCTGGGCCTCATGGGACAGGAATCAACCACTGTGCATTGGGTGAAAAAGAGGGGAATGTCTCCATGCTTCTAATGGAAGTCATATGGATGAGTGATAAATCTGATCCATCCTGGCAGAGGACACAATTAGTAGACAGAAAAACGAAAGGAGCAAAGAGGCCATTCACAATGCCTCAAAAGTAGTCCCCGAGGAGCCTTAAGTGACTTTGACAAATAGATAGATATATATTAATTTAGATTAAGACAGGTCTTATTTTGACTTGGGCTTAAGTACTCAATAGGAGAGTATAACCAAAAAGCAGTAATTAACAGTAACACAAAACAGTGCTGCCGGGCATGGTGGCTCACGCCTGTAATCCCAGCTCTTGGGAGGCTGAGGCAGGAGGACTGTCGTGAGTTTGAGACCAGCCTGAGCTACAATGTGAGCTTAAGGCCTGCCCGAACTGCATAGAGAGTCCCTATCTCAAAAAAATGAGAAAAAATCCTCCCCAAACCAAAACCAAACAAACAAACAAAAAAAAACAGTGCTAAGCTAGATATAAACAGTAGCTACAAAAACTACACCAGTTGTCAATGAGAGTCTTCAGCTACACCTGTACCATTTTATCCTACAGCCATGAGATGTCATGATTCCCAGTCTTACTAGCTCTTTCAAAAATGTGTCCTTCAGCCTCTTTAGTGTATTGTCATGCTGTTATTTTAATGTGCTTGCAAATATCTCTCTCAGGTAAACATTTGTCTTCTAATACAAGTCTGCCAATAGAATAAAAATGCCAACATAAATATTCTGGCTACTAAACTTTGTTTCCTTTGCGGTATAAACTAATTTTCTGTTATCTACTTAAAACTTCATATGTTTACATTATCTGGAATCCAGTTACTACAAAATGTCTATAGTTCTACAAAATAGAGGTGAGATTAAGCTACAATAAAAATTTTAATGATCCCATGGTCACAAAACCAGCAGATATTTTTATTTAATATATTCTTAGGTCACTGTTATAATTAAAATAGGAAGACACTGGATTTATTACTGGCAAAATAGAGAGGAGTCTGCATGCTCTTAAAACTCTACCACTTATTTTGGGGTTAACATCTCTATAGACAAATAGAGATTAACACTAAAGATAATAGGATTATTTCAAATGGTGCCTAATTTTGTCTGACTTTTACAACTTTTTGGAGTCACTATTCACTACTATTTTACCATTAATTTTTGGCCTCTGCTTATTTAAAATAGTTATAAAATGAAGCTTAGGCATCAATAACTTGCTAACGTCCTTGTCCTCTTTTTTAGATTATCAAAACAAATGCTTGTTGTCTGAACAATAGAAACCAATATTCCGTCCTCCTTTACATCAGTCAGAATGAGACTTTTGGTCCCTGGCTAGGCAGAGTAAACGTCTGCCTTCAGCCTGATGTAGCCATAAGATAATGAGCCTTCAGCTCCTTTGCATCCTTTAAGAATAAGGCATTGAAACCTCAGCAGGGAAATGAAGTGGGATAGAAAGGATAGAGAAAAGAGACAAGGAGAATCATAATTTTAAAACTGTACTTTTAAGAAGACTGTACTTCAATATACCATTAAAGTTACTCAAAGTTATCCATATCCACACTCCTTATGCTTGTGTATGCTTTTTTTCTTCCAGGCCCATAATGCCCAAAGTCCTTAAAGATACTTGAAATCTATAAATTAGCTTAATTGATAAGGGAAAGGGCAGAAACCTAACTTTAAGAAATAAAATAGACTAGGCCACTGCCTTACTCCTGTAAAATAGCCATTATCTTTGTACTCGGGCATGAGCGACTGATTTTTGGGTTCAAACCAAACCCAAATTTTTCATAGATTCACAAAGTCCATAGATTTCCAAGTCCCAAAACCTGTAAGTATCCCACACTCCAGACTCTGGCAGGCCTCTCCCTCAAGGTACTGTATTCTTAATTTTTTTGAGATGGTACTTTAAATTGAAATAAACTTCTTTATGTCACAAAAATAAATACATAGATAGGTAAATAGATATATTTTACATGACACAAAAAGTATACAATTCATACTAATTCAAGCATTCCCTCTAGTCAGTGGAATTAGTGAGCTTTACTATATGTCTGTATGATTTACAACTAGAAAATTGTATGTTCAGTTTTGTAGTATTGATTAAGAAAAATTATACTTACGGACAAAGTTCAACTTCTAAGTACTGCTCAGTTACATCATTCAAGAAAAATGCTTCCACAACTTTTGAAAATATAAATAAGATATATTGAAAAATTTAATTTTGCTTTGATTATATATATTTTTTAGAATAGAAAATGAGATAATTATGCATTTTTAATTGTCATGCTATCTCCAAGGAAAAGAGGTAAAATAAAAGACATTGACTAGAAGAAGAAATATATAAGGTATCATCCACTTTCCCTCATGTCAGATTGCAATAAACTAAAAATATTTATAAATCCTAGTGTTGGCGAAGTCATAGAGAAATCAATATTATCACTCAGACATACTACTCTGAGCTAGCTATTTTATTCTAGCAATTTATCCTAAAGAAATAAATCACACAACTAGGAACAGAAGTATTTATCAAAGTAAAATGGATCAAAAATTAGAAATAATGTAAGTTATTATTTTCTTTTATACAGTATTATCTTCTGCTTTATAGATAAATCTCATATTATACAGAAAAACTGATAAAACTATGGGATTCATGTATCTCACTGACATAGATTAGGGCTGGGCAAAGCTGGTTTGGGAAGTGGCTATGATTTGCTAATTACCAAATCCTAGAAAACATGCCATGCACAGAATGGCTCCCAAAGCCCTCTTCCCTGGATCTCCAGCCTCTGGCCTTCCCTGCAGATTTTGGACTTGCCAACCTTCATAACATGTGAGACAATTCCTCAAAATAAATCAGTATCTACTCCCCCACCCACTGTCCTACACTACACTGCCCTGCATGTAGAGAATTTGAGCAGGTTTTCAATAATACACCTAGGTCAGATGTCAGCCTGAGGTATGGGATCCTAAGGACAAGTACACAGACGTTCTCACGAGTTTCCTGGAGATTCAGATGGTATAAAAGGACCAAACACCAAGAAAAGTTTGTAATTGTGGCTTTCCTAATGGCGGTCCACCATGCTTTCTCTAGGATGTTCCTTTATGTTGTTTTCTCTTCTTTTATTCAACCCAAGCTTGCTCTGCAGAGGTAGTTTCTCTCTCATACTTTACTTTTACTTTCTCAAATAAACTTTGGCCCTGCTTTTTGCTCGTTTTGTTTGATTCTTTTTTTGAAAGGAGAAGAATTTGGTATCTAACTCCAGAAGCAGAGGTGAGCAACCCAGAATCTGGTAACATTTAACTGGTGAGCCACTTTTGGAAGCTGGCAGCCAGATAATATTTTCGCAGTCATCCAGGAGAATAAAAGCCAGGAGATTCTGATAATATTTAGCTCAGTGGCAAAAATGCCTGCCTGGCAGGTACAAGGTCATGAGTTTGATCCCTGGTACAAAAAAAAAAAAAAAAAAAAAAAAGAAAGAAAGAAAAGAAAAATACAATGGCATTATTAAAATCAAACATACCCTTAAAATTTATTGGCCTGGGAAAATATCCATGATTACTAATCATAAGCTATAGAGTAGCAACCAAATTTATGTGAAAGCAAAATGTATATTTGTACCTGTGGCTAGATTCCTATAAAATGTGTATAAAAATGTTAAGAGGGGGCTGGGGATTTAGCTCAGCGGCATAAGTGCCTGCCTTGCAAGCAGATAGTCGTGAGTTCGATCCCCGGTACCGATAAAAAGGAAAAAGACAAAAAAAAAAAAAAATGTTAAGAGTGGTCACATGCAATTGGTGGAATATGAGCAGGCAATTTTTTATCATAATTTCTTGAAATATTCTGAGGATGTATTATTTTAAAAATTTTGTAATTATTAGGGTTTTACAACTTTCTTGTAAATAATCAAAACAACACAAATAGAGATGAGGTGACAGGTCAAAGTCTTTTACTTGCCCATTTGGCATAAACGAGGCTTTTTCTGTGCTTCCACAAACTCTTTTACCTGGTTACATTTCTTTAAAAAATAAATACTGGATAAAAATTTGCCTAAAGTTTGCTTTTATTTGTAAGAAAAATAAATGTTCCAGCATATGTATTATTTTTAATGACTGCACAGTATTCTTCTGTAGAATATCCTAACATGCTGATGTAATTCTTTATGCATAAACATTTGTTTCCAATTTTCCACATATTATTTTTATACTAAAAGTTAAGATATAGACATAGTTCTATCAATAATTTAGAAATTGTTTCCAAACACCTGACCAAATTAAAATGTTTTCTATAACAATTAGTTTTATAAATCAACTTGACAAACCCACAGTACCCAGGTATTTATTTGGTCATATATTATTCTCAATGTTTCTGTGACGGTATTTTCTGTAGGCAAAAATAAAATTTAAATTAGTAGCCTCTGGGTAAAGCAAATTATCTTCAATAGTGTGGATGGGCCACTTCTAATCAGTTGAAAGCCATAATAGAAGAAAAGACTACCACTCTAAAAGATGAATTGAGCTAGCAGACAACTTTGGATTTAAACTGTAATATCAACTCCTCTCTGTATACCCAGCCTCCGGCCTTTCCTGCAGATTTTGGATTTGCCAACCTCCATAACATGTGAGACAATTCTTCAGAATAAATCAGTATCTACTCCCCCACCCACTGTCCTACATGCCAAAAACATCTCTTCTTATTTCTATTTTCTAAAGTGGAATGTTTTAATAAGAATTCAAAACTTTGAAGGATGCATGGCATTACTGTAAGAAAAAAGAAAAGAGACTAGTCTCAAAAAAATGGTTTAGGGAAGGATTCCTGGAGAAGGTGCTAAATAAACTCCATTTAGAAAGATGCATTGGAACTGGGTGAAAAATGGTAGAAATAGGGTGCTGGGGAAGAGACTGATACAGTCACAAATGCACAATTAAGAAATAATCTAGCTTATTTAAAGAACCATAAGATTTTTAGTCTTCAGAGGGCAAATATTTCAAGTTAGGAAAAGCTAGTGTTTCTGCATAGAGAATAAGGAGCCAACTCAGAGGAAATATTATACGGAGATCATATTAAGAGCAAAATTTATCTTGAGAGGATAAGGAGTATGAGAAAGTTTTAGCTGAAGGTAGATCACTCTGGTTTCTAAGTAAATAATAGACTTAAGGTAAAAAGATTATTTAGAAAGCTCTACCCTAACCAAGATAAAAGATGACAAAGCCTACCTTACAGCAAGGGGGACAGGGATGCAGTGGGGTTACTACATTAGAGAAATATTTAGGAAGTGAAATTGATAGGCCTTATACTCAATCCAAATATGGAGACTGAAAGAGAAGGGTATTTGTAAAGGTCTCACAATTTCCATATTTGACGATCTAAGCTATTTTTAGTGCCATTAATTAAGATTGGGTGACTAGGGAAAGAAGAAAGATTATAAGAAAATAGACATGTTGAGATTAGGATTTGCTGCATTTAGTGCCTAAAGCATCCCAATAAGACAGATTTGCCTGTACACTATGAAGAACCTAGTATACATGTACAAAAACGATTTATGTGTAACATATGTAAATTAACACGACAGAAGACCTGATATGAAGATGTTAGTATAAGATTTATCAAAGGCATCTTGGAAGAAATGGGAGGTAAATTAGAACTTGAACTAGATCTGTATTCAAGGCAGAAGAAATAGAATAGGAAAACATGTAGGTAAGAATATGCATGGCTAAGAGCATTAACCCTTCAAAAGTTAAGAGCTTCAAAAGTTTCATGGCACGTCTTTTAGTGTTTATCTAACGTATAAAATTACTTGCCAGTATAAAGTTAAAAGCTAAGTTTCAGTTTGCAGTTGATGGGTGTTTCTACAAGAAGTGAAATACCCTGAAACTTCCATAAAGAAGATTATATGATGAAAGAGGTAATTTAAAGCTACAATATTTATAGACAAATAAAGGAATGCTGAACTCTTCTTAGGTTAGGTTACAGAAGTAAAGGCAGAATCTAAGGAAGTGATTTAAAACTTTGCATTTGTAACTGTCATTTTTCACTGTCCTACCTATATAGTTGAAGTTATGTATACAATGAGGAAAATTCTGAATGAGCGACTGGTAGAAAATATCAGATCCTGCATGTGTCAGCTGCTCAGCACTCACTTCCTAACAGCAAGATAAAATAATAATCCATGGGAGGTTATTATAAAAAGATGATGTTTGTAACGACATGCAGTACTTCTACTTACCTTCATGATTCCACAGTTCATTGAATGGCTTTCCTGGTTCTCCAGGTGGGGCTTGGGGATCATTGAAAAATGGAGCACAGACCTCCATCATGACTCCTCCGTCACCAGGATTCAGCCTGACAAGCACTGGCTCATGCTTCACTGGGAAACCATTCCAAGTGTGTTCAATTCTAAAATCCATCTGAAGCCTGGAAATCAAGGACTGTATTAAAATAAATAACAATACACAAAAATTCCTTTAGCTAAGGGAAAGGAAATTTTTGATGAGAAATAATAGGAAGGCAGAAGAGTGACAGGAAAGGGCACCATCTGTACTGCGGTAAACCAGGGGCTCTGAGTTCCAATCTAGAATAAGTAGTTGGATCCTAAAAGTTCTAAGACATCTGGTCTAGATCTAACTCTTGTTTTCTCATCAAGAGTGTACCAAAACCAGTTTTTAAGGATGTAATTAGGTCTGCTGCAGCAGAAATTGTTAATATAATTAACTGTGAGTACTGAGTTTATATATTCTCTTGTCTTTCCAATTGTAAAGGGGTCTGTGTTACTGGATACTCTGGGAATTCAGACCTTTATAATAAAATTCAACTAGATTAAAAACTATAAATTAATATAAGTCGAATTTTTATACCTGTTTTGTGTTTTTAAAAACCTTTTAGGGGGGAAAGGAAGAGACTTCAACAATGGAAGGTCAGTAGAATTCAATCTTATGTTCATTTGTTCCAATTTTTTACATTTCCAATTTCTGACATTTCAGCTGTTAAAAGTTGTTTGGTTAATTTCTTCTCTCCAATTTAAATCTGAGAACAGAATCTGCTATCATTTAAGCTTTGAAATTGCCTAAGAACATATGAAATAAACATGCTATTTGCATCTTAAATTGTTTTCCGAAGTATTCATTTTAAGAGCATAGCATTAGATTAGCAAAATTATCACTCATTAGATTAGCTATTATTACCCTCATTACAAATGAAGAAACACATCTGTTCAAGGTCATATACTTAACATATCTAGAAAATGAACCAGTATTAGCCATGAAGACATTGCAGAAATCTACAAGTAGATGTAAACATTATCTTAGGGCTGATGGATTCTCCAAATTATACTGGGTCCCATGTCTTGTCCGGTAGATAATCCTAATTCAGTACTGACAATATCTCCAAACTATAATTTTCCTTATGTGAAATGTTTTAATGCACTCCCTTATTTCATAATGTTATTTTTATTACAAGTGATGAAGCTATTACATTTTGAATAAATTTAATTCAGTGAGTATGCATCTTCTACTTACTATATACTGAATAGTGGGAGGATCACATACGGTTTACGTTACATAATGAATACAAGATCTCTGCAATTCTTTCTAATGTATCTAGCTCCTGCAATTCTTGTGTTTTAACATTTTAATAAATAAGCTTTTAAAATAAATAGTTCTGGAATAGCAACCCTCTTGTAGAAACTCATAGCATTTCAGAGGAAATGTAACAGTTCATATTCTTCACTAGTAGAATAAGCTTAATGAGTAATAAAACTATATAAAGTGATTCAGATCATTTGGAATGTAGTCTTAATTTTTATGGAATAAAATGCCTTAATAAATGTCTTAGTTACTTTTCTTGTTGCTAAGACAAAATACTTGACATCCAAAATTAAAGGAGGAAAGGTTTATTAAACTCACATTTGGTAGAGATTTCAGTTATCATCAGCTGGCTCCAAGGCAGGGAGGGGTGGCAGATAGGTGTTACTAAGAAGCAGTTCATGGTGGCAGAAGACAGCAAAAGCAACAAGCAAGCACGTTAACATCCTCTGTCTCCCTCTTTTATATTATCCAAGCTACTCAGGGCAGGTAGCACTAACACCCTAACTGCTAGTACCCTTGATCCTAGCATTACACCATGAATCCATCCCAGCATCACACATGCTAGTTCCAGGTGCCTCTGAAAACGCCCCAGCTGTGACCACATGAGGTTTTCAGTAGGACATTTAAACACAGGTCATAATAATAAATTTCTATTCTTTAGTAGAAGTATATCAACAAAAAAATGTATGATTCAAGGTGCCAAAAGGAGCCAGTTAAATTTGATTTTAATGTGTCTTTTGCAGCATACAGGAAGAAATGAGAATAAATCAAAACATTAGAAAACCTGATTAACTCCTATGCTATTTTCCTAATGTAGACCTTAAAGAATTCTTGACAAAATATACTCCATGAATACGAAGGTTCTTGCAGATTCACTCAGGCTTCATATATTTCCAAAGTGCCATATATACTAAAGGGCTCCCTATTCAAATCAGTGGGTTTCTATTGGAGACTTTTTGACTCCTCAACTTATTTAAGTGATTGGACTCTACATCTAAATGGAATAAAACCAAACACAGTAGTCCCTTGCACAAAACCAAGTTTAGATGAAGTAAAGTTTTAAACTTTAAAAATCAAATAATATAAGAAGAAAAAATTTTTTCAATATGGCAGAGAAAGTCCAATTATAGAAAATAAAATTATATAAAAATTACATACTCATTAAAGTTAAGCAGTAGCATTCCGCTTCCTGGAAAACAGCCTACTATTAACAAAATCAAATGAAAATCTGGGAAAAGGTACAGTATATGTAACTCAGGAAAAAATGTTTGCCAGCTAATTCTCAGAGAGTGAACTAACATCTGAAATACCGTACATAAAGAACACACAGACAAAAACCTAGATCCCACCAAAATAAAATATCAAATCAAAAAATTAGCAATAAACACTTCTCAGGAAAAGAAATGTAAATGGTCAAGAAGTACACGAAAAAATGTTCAACATCTTTGGCCACTTGAGAAATACAAATTAAAACAACATTCCAATTTAGATTCCATCTTACTCCAGAAAGAATGGCTATCAAGAAGAATTCAAATAATAACAAATGCTGCTGAGGATGATGAGAAAAAAGAACCCTTCTACAGTGCTGGTGGGAATGTTAACTAATAGCACCATGATGGAAATCAATCTGGAGACAAAAAACAAAATTAAAAATTCCATATATATATGGAATAGCTGTGTTAAATATATCTTTATATTTCTAGATATCTACCAAAAAGAGTTAAAGACATCGTATTACAGTGATATTTGCACACCCATGTTTATAGGACTATAATTCATAAGAGCTACATTTTGGAAGAGGCCTATATCTCATTTGTAGATGAATAGACAGAGAAAATGTGGTATTTATACACAAAAGAATACCAATTAGCTGTAAAGATAAGTTTGTCATTTGTAGGAAAATGGACACCCTTTTTTTTAAAAGTAGGAAAATTTATTGGAGAAAAGGAATGGGGAATGGAGAATAGGAATAGCTCCTGAGAGACAGGAGGGGTCCCGAATGGGCTGCCCATAATGGATGCATTTTAAGACCATAATACTTAGTGAAGTAAATTAGACACAGAGTTTAAATATTGCTTGATTTCTCTTATAGGAGAAACACAATGTATACATAATTTAAAGAGAAAAATAAAAGGTAACAGGAAATAGGGAGACAGACTTTTGAAAATGTGAAGGGGATCTAGAGATGGAGGGAAGAGGAAGGAATAAAGGAGAAGTAAAAAGAGTTAAAATGAAATATGTATATGTACCAACTCCCTAAGTTGAATGTACTCATCATGTATCACAAACATACACTACCAAAAAGATGATTAAAAAGCATATGCAACTCATATTTCAGACAAATAAGTCACTGTTTTAATGCAAAAAAATCTAGGAATCAATAAAGACCAACACCTCAATAAAAAGGTAGGTGAAGGACAAGAACAGTAAGTTCACAAAAAGAAAATGCAAAATATTCAATCTTGCTTATAATGGTAGAAAATCAAGAGTAAATTTTCATTTAGATTGGCAAAGATTAAAAAGTTTGATAATACAGTGAGTTAGTGAGGAAACAAAATCATGTATTGCTACTGCACGATAATTGGTACAGTCTTAGAAGAGCAATAATCAATATCTAGCAAATAAACATGCATGTTCTTTGATTCAATAACTCTACTTCTAGGAATTATTATACTTGGACATAATCAAAATTACATAAGTGTAATAGTTTTGTTGGTATAATAAAATACTAGAAGCCAGTTAAATATGTTTAAGAAGAGGACGGGCAAAGCAATTATGCTCTATCATACAATGAAACACAACATGGCTGTGAGGCGGTCCATATGTACATACAAAATACACTGAAATAAAACAAAGCAAGGTGCAGAAATTCTGCCTGTCATTAATAAAAAGCAAGCTTATTTGCTTGTGCATTTACAGTGCAAACACTATCTTAGGAAGCCTATATAAGAAACCAATGGAGTGGCGTTGGTTAATTTTTTAGAATATTATCCTCCTGAAGTATAGAGGAAGTCTTCTTTCAGTTTTTTCATTTTTAACCTATTTGAATTTTATACTCTCATAAATATGCTTGACTTAAAAAATAATTTAAAATATTTTAAAAGCATGTTTAAGGTTGATTTCCTATTTCTGATTCCCTGTATTCCATTTACATGCATACATATTCGTTTAAATAACATGATATCTGAACATTTCCAAAAAGTCAGAATGAATATTATGAAGATGATCACCAACTTGTCACATGATTTTAATACTGGCTATTGAGATTTTCTTAAAATAGTGTTCGTCATTGACCATGTAGTTTTTTTCCTTTATTTTAACTCTGCTTCAAATTACTCTTTTATCAAAGAAAGTAAAAAAGATAACTTTTCAATTATCTTCATTTCTTTCTCTCTGCTATGTAAAGATCTTTAAGGAAAATAAAAGGAGATAGAACCTCAGAACATAAGGAGGCTAGCTGAAGAAAAAAAAAACAAAAAACAAAAAACACAAAGTTTAAAAGAAGGAAGTTAGAACTATTTGCATGGAAGATAGAACTATTTACAAGGATATTTTCAACAGCTCTATTCACAACAATCCCTTTGGTTTTCTACAGTTATTACTTCTTTTCAGTTTGCAAATCCTCCCTGCCCCGTCCACTTCTGAGAAATGGAGGAATTAAAAACGCAATGTGAAAGTGGGAGTAACCAATGTCAGCAGGAATCCGTAGAAAAGCATATTTTTCAGAGAAAATCTTCACACAAGACAAAGCGACAGTGGAAGGAACGACAGAGCGAAGCGGGCATAACAAGGGCACACAGACCCTAGCACGGAAGGCCTCCTCAATGCCACCCCGCCTGGCTGGGTCTCCACCGCCTGGGTTCCCCGAGCTGCTGGACTCAGGCTCCGCCCAGCTGCCGCCCCTTCTGGGGGAGGGACCAGTAGGACTGAATCTGGGAGCCTTGATTTTTCTACGAAAGAAATTAAAGGGCCACCGAAGGCCACTGCAGACTTTTAGTCACTCCACTTAAGTCTGAGCGTCTTTCTAGGAGAAGGAAGTGTAATTCGACAGCATAAATGCTGCACAAAAATTTGAAATTCAACTGTCAGTCATTAAGGTAACAATAGAACAGGTACAGCAATAATTCATTTATTGCAGCTAAAAGCTAGTTGGCCATATGTACAAAAACTATAAATTATATTAGACTACCTATAAATGATATTAAACTCGGGGGAGGCATATATATAGTGGTTAACAATTGAGGCATTTGGAACCACAGTTCCTGGCTTCAAATTCCAACCCAGGAACTTTTTAACCTTATCATCAGTTATGAATGTTGCTTAAATCCCCCCACTTTGTATTCTTCATGGTACTAGGTACTCAGTGCCAACTGAGAGAATAATGTTGTATTACTGAAATCTGCCGCTAGTTTTCAACCTACATAATTTCTAAGGGTCTTTCTTTCTTACAGAAAAGAATCCAACATAAAAACATGAAACAGTCGCTTGAGAAAAATTACGCAAGCACTAAGTACTTTTCTTTCCCATTTCTGATTTTCTGTACTCCGTTTACATCCATGCACATTCACTGAATTCTTTAATGCCTTATCAGACATTTTTTGAACTTTTCTGTGTTCAGGTTTATATGGGAGACTGGGGACAAATTTCAGAACAACATGATAAGGATTGCAGGAAGATACTTGAACTAAGTCCTAAGGTGACACCCAGCTTCAGGAAAAGTTGATAGAAAACTTGAGAAAATTTATAAAACACTACAAAGGCTACTTTAAGGATAGAATTTTTACTAATTCTGAAAATTATTTTGAAAATACTTTATTAATATTCAAACATCAGTCTTGTAACCACATATGCACAAACAAAAAACTTACGCTGACTTTGACCATAATTATATAAGCCCAATAATTCAAATGCAGTAAAAAAATTTCCCATTTCGATATTGACACAAAAATCACTCATTTATATTGGAAGGCTCTGTTTACTTTCATCCACACAAATATATCTTACTAACTTTGAGGGTAAATGTGGAATTAAATTAAAACTACTTGATGAATACCAATGTAAGTCAAAATATGACAATACATAATGTTCAAATGTGGAAACTACAAGTCTTCAGGGAGACAATGAAAAGTTCATGAAAAAAGAATCTGACATTGAATTTCAAAACAGAGCTTACACATTCAATTTTTCCTTCCAGTAAGTTTTTCTATTAATTTCATGTCCACTAAAATTCAAAACTATTTCAATGACAACCAATTCAAAGCTAAATTGAACCTTTTCATGATTATTACCCACATCAGCATATATCTCAGCTGGCCTTTGGGGGAAGGGAACATTTACTTTCATAAGTACAGTATAAAATAAGGGCCATAACAAACGCTCAAATTTTAAAAATTCTTAATACATCTTGCTAGCATTCCTTTAAATGACACAGTAAGCAAAGGCTAAAAAGATAAAACTTCTTAAACTACTAGACAGAAGGCCAAATCAAGATGTATCTGTAACATATTTTGGTAAAACTTTAATATCAATCTGTAAATACACAATCTATTAAAAAGCACTAAAACTAGTGGCTAGCTTCCAGTTAATGTCTCCAGCATTCGTGTGGTCATTCCTCCACTGTTATATGTTTTTTAAAATCTATAAGGTTTAACAGTCAAAATTAATGTTTAGACCTGGGAATTATGATCTATTCACAAATTTACATTTTACTTTTTTCTTGCAAAAAAGTAACTTTTCCTTCTATTTGAAGAAACAAGCATTTCTGAAGAAGTAACTGCTAAATTTGCAAGATCTTTTAAGTACTTCTATATCTTATTATCACAGTTAAATTTCAACAGTTGTCTCCTTTCTCTAAAGATCTGCAAGGGCAGGACAGTACTTATCTTCTAAACTGTATGAGGTTCATTTCCAGAAACACTGCAGAGGGACAGCTTTGACGGGATTCTGAGGAAGAGACCTACATCCCACAGCCAAAGAAGCCTCCATCGGTTCTACGGATGACCGGCGGGCTCATCCAGTCCACAAATGCTGAGTATATTAGGAAAGATACTAAAAGATTTTTACTCAATGCTCTCTTCATGTTACATTATGGGGGTTTAACACGGAAAAGAAAAAGACGTTGTGTCGCACCACCTGGATGTAAGCACTGGCCAGCCCGCTCTCCCGTCGCGCCAAACCGGGGGCTCAGCCCGCTGTCAAACAGTTTCTCATGGATCCACCCGTCACTTGACAGACGGCCAATAGCGCGCTAGGGCCGTAAGAAGCGCGATGACGTAAGCGCTGACGCTCGCGTGATGACGAAGTCGGCGTCACCGTCTCCAAGGAGCGGTCTGGGGCACCGGTTTCAAAGTCGCAGGGCGGGCCGAGTGGACTTCCGCTGCTGGCCCAAGGCTTCCCCGCGGTCCTCTCGTCGCCCCTCCAGCTCCTCAGCGGACTTCGCCATCGGACTGCCCTCCTTTCAGCTCCCTCTGCGCTCACATAGGTGGCCCGCCAAGACCCCGGAGGAACCACGGAACATCTCCATCCACCCTCGTCCCCTTCTCATCCGGTGGCATTCGGTTGAACGTGGAACCGAATTCACTTGCCGCGTCCCGGCGAGTTCTAAAATCTGAAGTCTCCTCCTCGGGCCAGGTACTCGCCTGGGAGAGGGAAGCGCGGCAGGACTGCGACGCTGCGTGAGGGGGATGCTGATTACACCGCGGCTGAACCGCTGCTTGACAACCTCGGAGTGTTGCTTAGTTTTTTTGTTTTCCCGCACATCGAGCTCTGTTCTTTTAGAGGAAAGAGAAAGGTGGAGAAACCTCCAAACAAAAATTATATCGAAATGGCCACAGAAATCGACTTTCTGAGAGACCAAAGTAAGCTCCATATTTCTTTATTAAGAATTCGTGCATAAGGTTTGATGTCGTCGTCTTTAACCAGCGAATGTGTTTTGAATGCCTTTCAGAACACAGTTTGGAAATCTGTAAAAACTTAGCAGAAGTTAGCTGCGTTAAAAGCTCGTTGATGTGTACGAAGGTATGCCTGTACTCAAGCAGAAACGTTTGGTAAATGACTAGGTTTTTGTAAGCTTTCATGGGACTCTGCTAGACACTGAACATGTTTGTTATTATCTGCTTGTACTCTGAAGAAATTAGAGGGCTAATGGCCAGGAGGAGTTTCCAAGTCTACTGTTCAGAACCTAGGGGCACAGCTCTGGCCATTTGTTTAAAAGATGTTTACTGAGTTGCTCTCATTTCTGTTATGTGCCAAGCACTATATAAGACTAGCTGCTGCAGAGATGAAATCTTATCCTTCAAGAATTTGGGAAAGGAAATATGTAAATACTGTAAATACTCTGAAGTGACACCAACTGCTAAACTTTCCTCATAGGGTTGTTGAATTATTAAAAGTTAAAACGTAAGGATTTACAATAGTGTCTTGATATATTGTGCTAAACAAATATGGACTCTTACAGCTTTACTATTTAAACTGTGGTCAAGGAAAATGCCTTCTGGGTTGAAAGTTGAAGTCAGTATGAATTTACTATGTAAAGAACCGTTTAGATATCCTAAGTAGAACAGTATTTATTTACAACATTAAAAGGATAAGAAATATGCTTTGTTTAAAGCCTTGTAGCCGGATCGACTAGAATGTAGTATGGAGGCTTATATAGGGACATGACAAGAGGTACTGGAGGGGTTGAGTGGGGTTAGAGGGTGACAGGCCTTGTCTTCTTTGAGCTAAGGAGTTTGGAACATTGCAGAAATTATAGGAAACACCATAAAGGATTCACTTGGGATTATCATGATCAAATTGTAATTTGGAAAGATTTGACTGTTGGGAGGAACATGCATTGTTGCACAGGGCAGTTAGGTAACAACTGTCATCATCCATGAATGAAGTGAACTAAGGTGAGTGCAGCTAGATTGCAGGTCAGGAGATTTGAAAGAAAGAGGAAGGTTTTGACTTGAGTGATAGGGAGTGATATGGTCTATTCTGGAAGCTTTGTAGACCAGTGGTTAAGTAAACCTGTAGACCTGTAGATTAGTCTATGTGGGCATGCAGCCTGTGTCTGCCTTTCCAGTTCTTTGCTTTGGACAGTTGTTTTCTATATGCCTCAGTTTTCTCATTTATGAAGTGAATATAAAGGTGCTCATGGAGTTGTGAGATTTAAATGAGATGCAGTAAGGACCTTAGTGTGGTGTCTAGGACATATTAGGTACATGGTTTGTGTGTGTGTGTGTGTGGTAACATCAGCATCATTTCTTTGGAGGGAGAATAACTTTGCCATAGGATCCACCATCTAATGATGCAAGACAGGAATTGCATGATAAGGAGGTTGGCTAGGGTGAGGAGGGTACCAGAGTTTTAGAAAGAATGAATTTCAGAAGAGAGAACTCTGGGATATAATTGAGGTCTAAGTAATAGAGGAAACCAAGTAAGACTATTGAAGCAAAGTAATGTAAATTTCTTGGAAAATGTCAAAAGACATGTAAAGTGGAAATAGGACATGTCAGGCAAAAGGAAGAGAGAGAGAAGCAGCAAGGTTCAAAAGCTTGAGATAACTGTATTTTCCTGAAAATTGGAGCATGGCATGGTAGAGTTTGCCATAAGTGGTAAGGAGGAGTGTTGTGTAGCTGTGACCTCCTTCTTTTTTCCTTTAAGTGGGACTTCTATCCAGCTCAGATGGTATATTGAAATACCAGCTCAGATTTAGATAGGTGACATTCGTCCTCCTGCCTGCCTCTGCCCTTCTCTGCATTGACTTTTGTTGATCTTGATCACTTCTTTTTAATCTTTCCATTTGGATTTGTTAGCCTAGCTCAAAACATTGTATTTATTTTAATATTTCTCAACTGGCAACTCTACATGATTTTACCTCTGATAATTACTGTTGGCCCCTCTACAAAGACCCAACCAGATTTATGGTGAAATAAACTTCTGATATATTTGCAGTGTGTTTTTTATTTCCACCTCCATTTGGGAAAGGAGATACGATAGGGAGATCTCTTTAGAGACCTGACTTAGGAGAATCTTGTATATAAATCTGGGAAGAAAGTATTCATTCCTGTAGGCATGAGTACTGATGTACTTATTTTTTCTTTTCATGTTCTCAAGTGTCTTTTATAGAGTAGATTCAAGTTTTGTTCTTTTATGATTTTCACTTTGATGAATCTGTGGGTCAAGTGTCATATCCGGGAAGTTTTTGGCTCATCCACAATTGTGAGATTTTCTTCTGTTCTAGAAGTTTTGTTTAAGTTTTACATTTAGATGTGCTGTTCATATAGTACAATTTTATGATGTAAGACTTTAGGCTCACTTTTTGCATATAGATGCCCAATTGAAAGACTATCTTTTCTCAATTGGATTACTTTTACACGTTTGCTAAAATTCAGTTGTCTGTGTGTGTCAATTTCTGAACTCTATTCTGTTTTGTTTATCTGTTTGTATATAGGCACTAATACACCACTACCTTATGTATTACAGCTTTGTAGTAAATATTAATGTTAAAGGATAACCTTTAGATTTGTTCTCTCTTACAACTGTTTGACTATCTTAAGTACTTTGTGGATCTGTATAGATTTTATAATGAGCTTTTCAATTTCTTTTTTTAAAAAAGGAAGCTAGGATTTGGACAAACATTGTATTGAATTTAAGGATCAATCTGTGTGGAATTCATATTTTAATGGTATTAGCCCTCTGACCAATATATCTCTTCTTTAATTTATCTCAGCAGCAGCGTTTTGTAGTTTTTAGCATGTAGATTTTACACATCTTCTGTCAGATTTATGTATTGAAGTTTATGATACTGTTACATATGGTGTAATTCTTTTAGTTTCAGTTTCTGACTTTTGATTGCTAATAAATAGAAATATATTCCTTGCCTAGTATAAGCTGCTACTTTGTTAAACTTATTAGTTGCAATAGTTTTTTAGTGGTCTATTAGGTTTTTTACATACATGGTCTGGTCATCTGAAAAAATATCATTTTAGTTCTTTCTAATTTGGATGCTTTTCATTTTTTCTTCTTGCTTTAGCGCACTAGCTAGAATTCCCAATACTGTGTTGAGTAGAAATAATAGGAGAAATAGACATCCTATCTTGTTTCTGTTCTTAGGGAGAAAACATTTATCTTTTGGAACTAAATGTGATACTGAAATCAAACATGTATATATTTTCCATACATATTCTGTCAGGTCAAGGTTCATTTCTTTTTCCTGGTTTGCTGAGAGTTTTTGTCAAAATGGATATCGTATTTTTAAATCTAGTGCTTTTCCAACATCTGTTGAAATGCCAGATTTTTTTGTAGGTTTTTAATAGGATAAATTATACTCAGACATTTTTGAATTTTAATTCTACCTTTTCTTTCTGGGACAGACTCCATCATGATATACTTTCATTTTTCTACATTTTTATATTTGGTTTTTAAAATATTTTCTTAAAATTTAAATGACTTTTTAAAATTCTAGACTTATCTGATTTGGTATTAGGCAATGTCAACGTCTTAGAATTCCTTAGAAAACATTTTTTCCTTTTTAATCATTTGCAAGAGTCTGTATAGAGTTGGTATTATTTCTTCCATAAATATTTGGTAGAATGCACAGTGAAGCCAAGTGTACCGGGAGTTTTTTGTGGAAATTTTTTAAACTAACAATCCAAATTCTTTAAGAGATAAAGAGTTATTCACTACTTGGTTATATACTGGAGGAATAATCTTTGCAGACCTCTATGCAGCCTGCTCTCCTATACATATTGAGTATTCCTATTCCAAAAATATGTAAATTCAAAATGTTGGAAAGGCAAAAGTTTGAGTGCTGACATGGTACTTAAAAACTTACACAGTTAGGGTTAGGGTTTGGGTTAGCATATTCAGATTCTCAGATTAGGATGTTCAACAAGTCTATTTAAGTAGGTGTTTCAAAATCCAGAAAATGCTGAAATCAGAAACATTTCTGGTCCGAAGCATTCTGGGTAAGAGATCTTCAACCTGTACTTTGTCCTATCAATTCTCATTCATTTAGTCTCCACCACTTTTCAGCTCCATCTCCTTTTTTCAGTGAGTCTGATGGTCTCAGCCAGCTTTTCCTTTCCCTGTGCTATGGTCTGGAATATTGATCAGGTCATTCAGCAGGGGCATTCAAGGCACTCACATCTCTTTTTTTTTTTTTTTTTTGTCTTTTTCGTTTTTATCGGTACCAGGGATCGAACTCACGACTGCCTGCTTGCAAGGCAGGCGCTTATGCCGCTGAGCTAAATCTCCAGCCCCGGCACTCACATCTCTAATCATCATTATCTGATATTTGATGTCTTGCATACTATTCATTCATTGTTTGTTTGTTTTTTGTTTGCATCATACAGTAAAGTAGTCTTAGTTATTTATTCTTGAGCATAAGAAAAAGTCATACTCAATTATCCTGCTTTTGAAATCTTATTTCATTCCAGTTGCAATTATTCTTTGACCTCACCAAGATCATTGTTATGGTTTAGATCTAAAATGTCCTCTAGAAGTCTTATGTGTTCAGATGTGGGGCATTTGAAAGATGATTGGCTCAAGGGTGTATTGTACTCATCACTGGATTCATCCATTGATGAGTTCATGGTCCAGTGCTTTGTTAAGAGGGTGGTTGGAAGAGGATCAGAGGACACGTGACCTGGAGGAGTATATTCTTGTCCCTGGCTCCACCCTTTCCCAGTTGCTCTCACTCTGCTTTCCAGCTGCCATGGGCTGACCAGCTCTTTGCTACCATGCTCCTCTGGCATGCCATTTCTGCTTTGTAGCCAAACAACCATGAACTGAATCCTCTAAAATGTGAGTCAAAATAAACCTTCCCTCCTTTAATCTGTAGGTTTGGGCATTTTGTCCTATTGATAGGACATTGACCAATACAACCTTTATTCTTAACTCCTGGTTTGTTTTTACTATTTTTTTTACACAGGTTGTGACTGTTATCTATTAGTTCATTTGCTATCTTAAGGTAACCTTAATATTCTTGTGTCCTGTTTTTCTACTGTATATGCCCAGTACTGCCTCATCCTAAGATCAGTTGGTTCATTTGTTTTTTATGGTTATTTTTGTGTATAGCTGTTCGATACCTATATCTCAATCCTCTTGATAAGTATCATCACAAATTTGAGGTTAACTCAAAGCTAATAAGGGTCTGAACCCAGAATTTGAACACCAGGATGTCTAGTTATGTCATCTACATAAACTACTACTGAACAAATGTATTTTTAAGAAAGAAACACAGTATTGTAGACCTGTTTTATTCGTGCATTTTGGAAATAAAATTTGAAATATTTTTGATCCAGTGGTGAATGCATTCAAAATGTGGGCATGAATGTGTGTGTGTGTGTGTGTGTATGTGTCTTGGCTGTTTACCTTGCATTTCTGTCTATATTTTAGAATCATCTTGTCAATTTCTACATAGTAATTTGGATCATATTAAATATGTAAATCAATATGGGCAAAATGGATGACTTTATAATACTCACTTCTCTAAACCATGAGTATATTCTCTCCATTTATTTAGAGGCTTTGTTTCTTTCCCGAATGTTTCATGATTTTTTTTTGTGTGTAGGAATTTTACTCTTCTTTGGTTAGATTTATTCCTAGGTGTTACCATTTTTATATCACTATAAATGATATCTAACTATATTGTCACTATACAGGTGTATAGTTAATGTTTGTACATTGTCAAAAATCTTCCTGACTTTAATTATTGATTTTAAGAATTTGTCTGTCTATTTTGGATTAACCCTACTCATACTCATACCTATGAATAATGACAGTTTTTTTTTCTTTTTGACTTTTGTACCTTTCATTTTTTAAATTTATTGTGTTATAACTTAGACCTTAGACCTCTTGTGGAGTGTTAAGTCAATTTGTGAGAATTTATCCTCCTCTTCTCAGTTTCTAAGGGAATGTTTTCAACACACTACCCTTAAGTATAGTGTTTGTTAAGTATTTTTTTTCCTGGCATCCAGTATTATATTAAAGAAGGTTCCTTCCATTCTACCTTGCTAAATTTATCATGAATATGTCTCAAATTTCACCAAATGCTTTTTAAAAAATAATTTTTGACAATCAAACAATGACAGCACAAACTATTCCTTTTCATGAACTAACAGAGAATTAGTAGTATGGTTATCTATGTTGAACACTTAAACATACATACAGTTATTTGTGTATACCCACAAGTTGTTATTTGCTTTTGAACACTTTCTTTTCCTTTCATTATTGCAATATCTATTGGACATTTTGGATCTTATTACTCTTTCAGTTTTTTTATTATTTATTTTTTACACTGCAGAGACAATACGATATTTGCAAATGTGGATTTTGTAATCTGAACAACTACTTCTAAGATAACAATATATAATATATTAACTAGTGTAGTTTCTTACTGTTATTTCTTTTGAAGTTTTGTATTATTTCTACCCTTTTTTTCTGTTTTGCTTTTCAAGGTTAAAAAAAATAACTTTCCAGATTATTATATTCTGGTTCTTTTTTGTGGGTTTATTTTCTATTTATTTTCTTATTATTTCTTACTGCACTTGCTTTGGGTTTAATCTACTGTTTGTTTGCTGGCATGCAATGCAAAATGAGTGGGTTTCTAGGGAAGTGAATCCTGTAATGGTGGCTGTCACACTTGTTTCAAATTCCATGTTCAAGTTGTAAATAGCACAACTGGATCAGGTGTGTCATTCAGCTTTCGACACCATCTTCAAGCAAACCTTCCATTTATTGTCCAAATTGTTATACACTGAAATGTATGTTCTACTTTTTGGAATGGATTTGTAGCTTCAGACTTCTTTTCTAGTACAGGTTGAGCATTCCTAATACAAAAATCCAAAATCTAAAATTTTCCAGAATCCAAATGTTTTTCAGGGCTGACTTGATGGATTTTGGGGATACTATAGAATTTTGGATTTTCATACTAGAGATGGTCAGCAGGTAAAGTCTGTACAAACATGTTAAAATCTGAAAAAATGCAGATCTAGAATACTTCTGATCCCAAACATCTTGGGAGTGTATATATGCAATTAAAACTGTAGGTTTCTCTATCAGCCAGTTTTAAAGTATATTCCATTTTTGTTATTATTTAATTCAAAATATTCTTACATTTATTTTGCAATTCCTCCTAAGACTCATGGGTCATTTAAGAGTGATTTCTTAAGTTCCATATGCCTGGAAGATTTTCTTTTTATTTTGGAGTGTCTGGATTCTAGACTAATTGTGTTATTGTCTTTCTGTCTTGTGTCCTTTGAAAGTTGTTGAAACTTGCTCTGTTGCCAGCAGATAATTCATTTTAAATGTTCTATATGATCTTAAGAATATGCGATTGAACATTTGCTGGGCACTGTGTCTTGCTTTGTTTCTTGGTGTAAATAAATACATGGCTTTACATTTATGGGGAGCTTTTGGTTTCATTCTCATGCCACTTCTGTTTAAGTTGGGGTTTTGGTCCTACAGTAAGTCTTCAAAGCAGAGGGTTGTCCTAAAAGACTTTCAGCAGATTTTAAGAATTCAAAAGAATATGACTGCAGTTTGTCTTTTCAATCCTAGTGTCGGGAATTAGAAAATCATAAAAATCTGTTTCTGTAGCTATTTTTTCCCATGGAAAATAGTTGGCTTAGGTGTTGAAAGTTCTAATTTAAATTCTGAACTGATATGTTGAAATTGATGATCTATCTTATTTAGAGAACCAGTAGGGATTAAATATTTTTTCATATGTCAAATAATTACTGTTTTCTAGTTTTTAAAATTAAGCATTGCATAATGAACTTTAATTGATTTTTCCCTGTTGTTTCAGATCAAAGACTAAATGAAGTTATTAGGCAGTACCAAATGGGAAATTTTTCCAAATATTCATCTATGAAGGTATGTAAAGTGATTAAATTCTAACAACTCAATTTAGATTTAGTTGTAAGTACAGAATGTGTACATCAGTATGAAATTCTCATGTGAAGTTGCTCTTAATACTTTGAAATTTTGCTTACCACATTGATTGTTATATAAGTGAAACTTGTTTTTGCTTAATGAAAGTAAATTCTTGGCCCACAGAAATTGCTTTTTTACCCCCAGATTTGGAACTGATATATGTGATGCTGAAATGTCTGAGTCCTAATATAAGAATACATTCAAGTTTTGAAAACTCTTAAAATTGTTTCTCAGGATACATTTGCTTACATGCTGTAACTCTCAATTCTCATAAATTATGACAGAAGCATAAAAGTAACTCCAATAGTAAATAATATATGGCATTATTTTAATATTTCAATATTGGATTAAAAATTTTTTTAACCAACAAGATGTACTTATTGATGGGCCCTGCATTATCAAATATTAAAAGAAAAATGATGTCTTCTAGAATATTTATGACTCTTTACTGAAGAAATAAGGAGTGGTTTGCTTTTGCATAATTGAATCTTGTGATTAGAAATTCTTAGAGAATAAAAATGAGGATATAATTTTTGAAGTGTTTAAAAAGACTGATTTATTGTTGGCTAGAGTATGCTTATTATAGATACTGTCTTTAGTGTATAATTAATATTAGCCTATTACTTTGTGTTTTGATTTCCAAACATGACTCAGAGTCCACAGGGTCTTGTAGCTACCCTCCACTATTCACTGTGATTATTACAGTGATTATTTTCCTTAAGTCACCTTTTAATACTGATCTAAGAATTGTAATCATAGTTTAACAGCCTCTAAGTTTTTCTTGTTTTCTTATGCCTTTTGCTTCTAATGACTAGGTCTGAAGGAAAGATTGAAATAAAAGAATGATTTTTTTGAAGCCTCAAAATATCTCTGGGTGTAGTGTTGTAGTGTATCTGTTGGCAGCTATGGCTGACTTGATTATGAAAAATAGTTTTACCAGTAACACAGCAGTAACTCAGCAACCCTTCAAAAGGAATGAATAAATACAAAACACAATGCAAAAGGCAGATGAGTAGTTCTGGAGAGGAAAGACATTCACTCATTCAAAAAATATTAATTTGTTCACTTTAATGAATTTTGAGTACATGACTGTGTTAGACAAACTCAGAAGACAGAGTGACGAAAAGGGAAGACAATGGAACAAGTAGGAAAATTAAGTAATTAAAATTAAAAAGTCCTACAAAGGGAAAAAACAGTCTTGTGAGATGGTGGTAGTGTTATGACAGAGACTGGTTTTTGGAAGAGGATCAGAGAAGACCTTTCAAACTGGGACAGAAAGTGAAAAATGAGCCAAAGAATGGTCTGAGATGCCTTAGGCAGAAAAGAATCTGACATGTCTTTTGCAATGAGTAGGAGTTGGTTCCAACTGTGAACAAATAATTATTATATTAAAATTGCATTGAAAAGTAATATGAGACTCAATAGACAAAATGTAGCTATTGCTGTACTGTTTGAGTTGAATCAGATTGCTAGCTTTGTAGACCATTTCTGTCCAAGAGGACTTTCTCTGGTGATACCTGTGTATAATTCTACACTGTCCAGTATGATAGCCACTAGTCACAAGAAGTCTTTGAGCATTTGAAATTAGGCTGATACAACTGAGGAGGTGAATTTTTCATTTTTATTTCAAAAGACTGAATTAGATTTCAGTAGTCATATATCTTGTTGCTATTGATTGATATAATTCTAAACTGTATGCCTGATAAGTAATGCAGGTAAATCCTTGATTTTATACCATCCCATGTTATTAGGATATCAAAACACTGTTTTTCAGAGTCCTCCTGAAAGAGTGTAGAAATTTGTTGTGCTGTATATCAGCTTGTACTGATAAATAATGAAAACCAGTCTCTTCAGGATGTGAGTGAAAGGCTTAAGCTATTTGCTGAAACCTGTATGCAGAAACGTCTTTACACAATGGTAGCCTACATTTTCTTTCAAAAGATGGAGAAGGTGCTATTTGCCTATTTGATAGACAGTGCTGACTAGAGCAGGAAGCAAAACTAAAAATTTACAATTTTAATTGGAATACTTAGCATATAATATTGCTAGTCATACCAAGTATTTAGGAAATTTACTAACTACAACCCATTTTTTTGACTTGTGTGTGTGTGTGTGTGTGCATGTGTGTGGTACAACAATCAGCTTAGAGAATCATCTTAACATCAGAGATAAATATATAATGTTAATTGTACAGGACCAGATATTTTTATGACTTGAAGTATATAAAAATCTATAAATCTTTCTTCATTTTGTGTCATCTGTCAATATTTAGAGAATATAAAAAGGGTATTTATAAATACTTTCAGAGTCCATTTCAGTCTCATTCTTCCAACTTAATTTTTTCAGCCATATCTTGACTTATTAAGCAGTGGAGCTTTTTTTGCTTACGTTTCCCTAGAAAATGGGAAGGCATTACCAAGTTTGCATTTTATTTTTCCAAAGATCTGGTTATCTATTGTTTGACTTCTATGTTTATTCTCAGAAATTATAAATTTAATGATTTCTTTTTAGTTGTTCTGTTTTAGGATTGTATTGTTTAATTTTTAACCATTTTATCTGAGAATTGTTTTTTGATATTTACTGAGTACTACCTTTATACAAGAAATTGTGTCAGATGATTTAGTGCAGACAAATTATATTATAGGAACATAAAAAATACTAAAAATATGTGGGCAGATAAATATTAGACAGTCAAGCAAAAGGCATACCATTTGTACCTTAAAAACATTAAGAAGCAAATATGTGTATTAAGGGTTACAAAAGAAATAAACTTGGAACAACTGGGAAAAATTTCTCAAGAATGTAACTTATCTGATGGACTCTGAAGATTAAATAGAATTTCAAAAGAATTTGATGAGGAGATAAAAGTAGAAGTGGCAGGACAAACTCAAATGCACCAACAGGATGAGACGCTAAGAGGGTAAGAAAATGAGAGCTGTATGCAGGGATAAAGGACAGACCATCTAGACAGAAAGTCAGCAGGGAACAAGGAACAGAACTGTGCTTCAGACCAAGTGGCTTAACGCATGTACATGGAACCACCAGTCACTGCCACACATTGTTCTCAAGCACACTTGCAGCATTCTTCATAATAGATCTCAGCCTGTCTAGGCTCTTCCAAACACCGAAGAGGATGGAACACTTGCAGTCTAACTTCTTACTTTCCTCCTTCCTTCTGTTTGTTTTTTTTTTTTTTTTTTTCTTTTTCTCTAGTGGGACTAGGGCCTGAATCCAGGACCTTCACACTGAGGTCTATCCCCAGCACACTTCTTTCCCTAATTTTGAGGACAAGATCTTACAAAGTTGCGCAGACTAAGCTGCAATTTATGATCCTTTTCCCTAGCCTCTCAGTGTGCTGGGATTACATACAACAAATTTTTGAAACCCAGTACTACTCTGATACCAAATGTCTCTTAAGGACAGTATAAGACAAGAAAATTTCATGCCAATTTCTAGTGAATATAGGCAAAAAATATTAATGAAAATAATTCAGCAGTACATTAAAAGGTTCATACACCTTTTATATCATCAAAGGAGATTTATCTCTAGAATGCAGATTGATAATTGTGATACAGCACATTAACAGAATGAATGCTAAAAATCATCATCTTAGTAGAGAAGAGAAAAAGCATTTGACAGTTGTTAACATTGTTTCATGGTAGATTCTCCAACAAATCACTTTCAGAAAGAATGTGTCTCAACGTCATAAAGACCATAGGATGACAGTCTCTCAGCAAATAGCAGGCTCAACGGTGGAAGCAGAAAAAAGGCAAGAATTCCCACAATTGTCACTTCTACCAGTTATATTACTGGAAGTTTTAGAGGAAGTATTGGGCAAGAAGAACGAACAAATGGTATCCGTATTTGAAATGAAGATGTTAATACTTTGTTTGCCAAACCATGATCTTGTATATAGAAAAACCTAAAAACTGTAAGAAGAAATAAATAATTTTGGTAAAATTGCAAGATGTCAAATTCACATTAAATCAGTGGCATTTTTATTCACTGACAGTGAACTATCTAAGAAAGAAATAAAACAACTTTATTTACAATAGTATCAAAAAGAATAAAATTCTTTGGGAAAATGTATTGAAGGGAAAACTGTAAGACATTAAAACTATAAGTTAACAGTGAAAGAACTTTATGATGTAAATGAAAAATACCCTCCGTTCACAGATTACCACACTTAGTATTGTTAATATGTCCATGCTACTCAAATCCATCTACAAGTTCAGAGCAATCTACAATATATGAAAATTCCAATGGCATTTTCCTAGATGTAGAAAAAAACAATCCTAAAAAGACTCTGCATAGCTAGAATAACCCTGAGGAATAGTAGACCTGGAGGCATCACACTTCATAATTTCAAATTACATTCAAAGTTGTATTAAGCAAAATAGTATGATACCAACATTAAAATACACACATAGATCGGTGAAACAGCACAGAAATTAACTCACAGGTGTTTAGTCAACAACCAAGATGCCAAGAATATATAAGAAGTAGAGAATAACCTTAATTAAATGATGTTACGAAATCTGGATATCCACATGCAGAAAAGTAAAAGTGGACTCATGCCATAAAGGAAATAATTCAAAATTAGATACTTAAATGTCAGACATGAAACCATAAGATTCCTGAAAACAATAAGAAAGCTCCTTGACCTTGGTATTGGCAATAAATATATTGAACTATAAAAAAAGTTTTTATAAAGCAAAGGAAATAACAAATGAAAAAACAATCTGTGTTATGGCAGAGAACCATGTGAGGTATGATTAGAAAATGCACTGCATTAAATTTTTTTTAATTTACAGTAAAAGATAAATTACTATTAATAACTCTCAAAATACTGCTCCTCATTTTGAACACACTTCTCCCATCATTCTTCCTGAAGCAGGTCTGTATATCCTCTTTCATGAGTACCTAGGTGTGCTGTGACT